CAAGAGACACGTTCTCCAAATTAATGCAAACACTCCAAATGTTCCCGGACAAACACGGCGCTGTTAGCTCACACGCTCTCTGTATAAACTTTATAAGGTGATAATATGTAAGTGTTAACTTTCACAGCTTGTTCTGCTGTCCTCGGTTAGCCCCAAAAAAATGTTTCTGCAATGTGCAAGACCTCAGTACGCCTTAAAATAAAATAAAAGAGTCCCTGTTGGATAAACTCTCATATCCACAACCGTCTGTTTTCAGCCGTAGAATCAGGAGGAGGTCTTTTTCAGACTTTCAGTCAGTTTCATCGTCTTCATGGCCGGCTAATCTGAGGACGTTGAGCTTTTCTCTCAAGGTCTCCAATATCTTTTTGCAAAATCTGTGTCGCTTGTGCTTCAACAAGGATTTTCTAAGATCTCTGAAAACAAAGCCGAGCGCCTTCTTTAGTTTCTTCTTTGTTAGTAATGGTTCCTTACAAAGCTTTACATGAGCCAAAGAGCTGCACTAATGCATCTCTGGTCAAATCTCTGCATAGCTGACATTCCCTGTTTATCTGCTTATCACAGCTCGTCCACACACACACACACGCACACACACACACGCACACACACACACACACACATACACACTGGTGATGAACTGTACTGCAGCTCTGCAGGCCTCACCTGAACCTCAGCCACCTCTCTGAGGAATGTCTGACACAACAGCTCCGACTCGTCTTACACTCGGGGGTCACTTCACTGTATTGGTTTAAAGTCGAGGAGTGCATGGAACCGTTGACTTACTGGAGCGAATGCAGCCAACAGAGTTACAGCTTTTACAACGGCAGAGAGGTACGTATGGACACGTTGCTGCTGTTCAGCCTTGGCACAGAGCGATATCAAGCTTCTGAATTTATTATTTATTTGATAACAAGGAGATAAAAAGTAGTGGAAAAGAAGAAAAGACGTCTGTTTCCGATGATGTGAAGATGACAGTGAGGTCATATTTTGTGGAAGGACATACAGAATACACTTCGATAATGATTTGTTTGTATCTTCTCCAGCGGGCCGAGGTCATCTCACTGGAAGTGCGTATACGGCTTTACAGAACAAGTTCACACAGCAACCTTCCGTTATAAGGAAGCAGCAGGTCCGTCTCTGTTTGATACAAAGGCGACTAGGATAATTTAACCAATTTCCACGGACTCTACCCTAAGGTCCAGTTTGCTGCCACTCTAGTCTATGCTCCTGTCTCCTCGTCATGCCCCTCGCTCCGTCTCCAGGAATGACGAGCAACGCCACTCCACTCTGCTCTGTTTCAAATAAGTGCTGAATCTCTGAAGGGCGGAGCCCGATCCATCCAGAGAAGAAAACAGACTTAGGAACAAATACAGTAAGAGGTTTCATCGGCTTACGTAGAGGCTTGAGGCCGTCTTGTGAATTTCTTGGTTTCCCGTCGGGGAACTATCACGTCATTTGCAGAACAAGCCGGTTAACTCCCTCTGCAGAGACATCCTGGGATTACTCCAACATGTGTTTACATCACGATCTGAAACTCTGCCCACGTTTAGTTTGAGCTTTGTGACACTGTCAGCATACTAGGTCAAGTTTAAAACACTATAAGGACAGCCTTCAGAGATGACTAAAGAATGGTACCAACAGGGACATTTTGAACCACTAGGCCACTGTCCAAGATGTCAATTTGGATGAGTTGCAGGAAAACTTGCTAAAGTGGAGTTCTTGAAAAACAGATGGTGAAGAATCTCACCGCCAAAGCTTTGCTATCTGTGTGTAGAAGTAGAGTGAAATCCCATACTTACTGTAAAGTGTATCAGAGTCTCGATCCGCTTTGAGCCTGTGTAACTTTGTCCGACCTCTGCTGTAACCTGAGACATTAGTGTCACATAAAAGAGATTCTTTCTAGACAGTTATGTGTGGAATTTAATTAAACTATCCATGATCAATCAGGGCATCCCCCTCCTCCCAAAACTCCTGAAAAAACTTTCCAACAATAAAGCATTTACAGTGCAGCGTCAGGTATGCTGCAAAAGGGACAGAGTGTATTGCCAATGTGTGTGTGTGTGTGTGTGTGTGTGTGTGTGTGTGTGTGTGTATGTGTGTGTGTGTATGTGTGCAGTGTGGATGTAGGAGGGGCATGGGCTTGGCAGTAGTGTGTGCAGGCTCTTCTCCTGCTGCTTTATGCAACCATCCAAAAAACAAAGGACTTCTTGGAAACAGGGGTGCTGCCTGGCATCTGTTGGGTCAAAGCTGCCTCTGTGAGTTTTATGCTCGATGGCACGCTGAAGGCTCTTCATTTCCTGTGCCACTGCGTCCTAACCGTGGGCTGTGGTTACCGAGAATGAGATCACGCTGCTCTTCAAGGAAGTCGGCGTGCTTGAGGTCACGTCTTGGAGTGGGCGGTTATAGCATGACTAAGGAAACGCATCTCTCCCACAATGATGAGTTCTCATCTGCGAATTGGATTTGAGAAGTAGGAGGAATTGTAAGCATTTCTGTTTGCAGCGGTGAGGTGCAGGGCGGTGATTCACTAATTTATTCTCACTCTTGCTAACATGTGCAGACACGCTGGAGACTCGCCCCCCTCCGCGCTCTCCGTGTGCTGTTTGCTCTGGACTCCCCGATCTGTCAACTTGTTTTTCAGCCAGAAAATATATTCCTGTCTCCATAAACGCGGTTGCAGTTTGTGTGTGCTGTGCATGTATGTATTTCCTGGAAAGTTAACGCATGTGAGGGTCTTTCACAGGAGCACTGTACAGGCCCCCCCCAGACACCTCCTGCCTGATTCAGAGGCTCACAGCAGGCCTCTTTATACAGCAGCTCAGGTTCGTACCAATATGTGCAGTCACTCAGCAGGTAAGGCTGCGGCTGCATCACCTGAGAGTCAACAAACACATTAAAGCCTGTTTATTCTCGTTATGAGGCTAAATTTACATGAAAAGATTTCCAATATATGCACACAAACATGTTACTTTCAGGGTGACAGTTTACCACTTAGAGCAACCTCGAGTATTGAGAAATGAGGCCAATGCTGAGGTACAAAAAACTGCAATTCCTCCAGTGTCCACTTGAGGCTGGCTGCAAAAGCAAAGGCATCCCTATCAACTCCCATGTTTAAAATGGTGTATGGACCCGAACCCTCGTGGTCATTCAGTGTGTATTTTTTGGGTCCACCTCAGTAGATTGAACATTTCAGCATGGATGCTAACTTCCGGGATTCGTGCAGTTACGGTTTGGATGCATCCTTTCAGGAAATGAGTTGTATTCTAACACCCAGCGATGGCAGCGATGGAAGCGGGCAAGAGAAGTGGTTCAGATAGAAGTGATTGTACCCGACCTAAAAAGCCTCTGCATGTTTCTAATAAGCTCCACGAGCAGAAACGTGCTCAAACTAGGATCAATATTGGAGATGCTTTTGAAAAATGGAGAGAGGTTAGAACACAGAAAGGTTTACAGACCGATGCAGAGCTGGATAAACACTGAAGCTTCAAAGTCCACCACATGGTGACCTGTGTGAGCATCAACTCTTTTTCTCCTGTAGCTTTTATGTTTTCTAAAGAGCAGAGTGTATTTTGTGCATTTAGTTCACAAAATCATTCGATTGTTTGCTACAGAATGCACAAGAGATGCAAAAGGTGGGATGTGATTGTAAAGAAAGTTTTAACAGAGGAAATGAATGAATGAATCCATTAAAAGCTGTGTTTGCTGAGTGGATGTTCTTGTAGCCCACACATCACTCATCCCCTGTGTACTTCCATTTCAACAAGTAGGATGTGAAATGTATCTCCCCTGGTCTGTTTTTCTAATGTCTGCGCCTTTTCTCCAGGGCTGACACATAAATCAAATGCCCGGCTTCAGGAGCGTAAATCCAGAAAAGAAAAACAAAAAACTATACCACCGAGGAGCTGCAGGGAAAACAGCTCCAACACAATGTGTAACCCAGCCAGCACTGACCCTCAGTCGGAGTGTCAGTCAGAGATTGATGACCTGAGGTAAAGATGGTTATTGATAATGGCCGCTGATCTGATCCTGCATTCTTGATTTGTTGTGGCAACAGCAGCTCAAAGCATTAGTGTAGCCAATCCCATTCAAATATCATAAAGCACATTTAAAGGTTGACCAAAGAGTTGTACAATCAATCAAAAAAACACAATAAAGCCCCGTTTGCACCAAGCAGTCGGCTCAGCTCGGTACCCATTTATTGGCTTTTCCACCGTCAAAAGTTTGGAATGGAACCAAAAGAAGAGATCAGTACCGTCCAACTATTTTGGTACCCTTCTGTTGGGGTGCCAATGATACCAATCCGACCGCAAAGGGTCCCTTTTAAAAGCCGTTTCCACCAAGCAGTCCGGTTTGGTTCAGTACAGTTCAGTACAGTTCAGTACAGTACAGTTCAGTACAGGTTGGTAAACCCTGATCTTGTTTGCAATTCCACCGCCAACTGTACCCTTATTTGGTAAGCGGAGTGTAAGCCAGATGGAGATAGCTGAGTCAGCTATGTAATAGTGTGACATCATAGCAGCTCAACACAGTGTAGCCAGCATTAATTAAGTTCCCACTCTACACTTCCAATTGCGCATCCCATCCCATCCCTGCTTATCACCCTATATAATGTAGCTTTAATAAATACACTTTTTCATGATTTTGCAGATTTCCAGCAAGTATCATTGCAGTAAGGTGATGAGGGATGAGGTCACTTTTGGAATACATGAAGCCTCGACAAAAAAAAGCAGTATAGCCTTAATTTTTGTTGAACAAAACTTGTATTTAATGAATAAATGTGGCTTTGATTATGAACACAGAAAGCCATATGCTGTTTGTTTGAAGGGTTTCCTTCGAGGGGGATATTTCCGAGTTGCACTTGAACGCACCGTCACTTGTGTGTAGTTGTGGGAGCTGCACGGAGCGGAGGACGTACACATGGAGCTGCCTCCTCCTCCTCCTCCTCTCAGACACGATCCGGTGTTTGCTGTGAGTCTTCAGTGAGCTCTGAGAGTCTGACAGGATGGAGGACATCTGCTGCTGTGAACTCAGTGCACCGGCTGCTGCTGCTGCTGCTTCACTGTTTGCTTCAGCTGTGGAAACTCTGCGCTGCGTCTTTTGACCAAAACCTCACAGCGGGAGGATGACAGAGTGAATGCTGAGACAAACATTTAGGTTTTTTTTGTTTTTTTTTAACTTGTGCAGGTGTAGAAGACGCAGAGAGTCTTTAAAGTCTCCAAAGCAGCTCTTCAGGAGATGAATTTGACTTTTTCCTCAAACCGTGAACCTGTCAGCAGACCCTGCAGAGGAGAAGAGGACTGAACACGATGCGAACCCGATCTCCAAGCGCCTCTGCACCCCCTGAACATGTGCAGCGCGCTCCGGCCCGCACACACCGGCGCACCCAGCAGCAGTGACCGCGCCTGGAGCTCCGAGTCCGGCTGAAACATGTTCATTTTGTGGGTCCCGCTGAGTTTGTTCCTCAGCTTCATCATTTCCCAGACGTGGAGCGTTCAGTTGTCGTGGGAAAACTGGAACGCGGAGCAGCGGAACCGGGCGAACGAGTTCGAGAAGACGAGCACTCAGCCGCACATCGTGTTCATCCTGGTGGATGATCAGGGCTTCCGGGATGTCGGGTACCACGGGTCAGAGATCAAAACCCCGACTCTGGACCGGCTCGCAGCGCAGGGAGTGAAACTGGAGAATTATTACGTGCAGCCGCTCTGCAGCCCGTCCAGGAGCCAACTCATGACCGGCAGGTACAGTGCAAGGGTCCCCAAGCTCTCATCCTTAAAGCTAAACTTTATCAGTTTTAAATTCATTATAATGGCATCAATACGTCTGTTGTGCACCTTTAAAGATCATTTTCAATCAAGCAGAAACGCTTTGAATCCCCAGAGGCAGCGATATTGTGTGCATCAGAATTAAGTAATGAATTAAAATATGTTGCCAAATGTTTAACAGTTATTCCAGTGCTTCTCAACTGGTGGGTCGGGACCCGAAAATGGGTCGCAAAGCCCAGTTTTTTCAGTAGGTCTCAAATGTGTGCCTGAAAAAAAACATGTTTATAAAGACACTGCAACGCTTTCTAAACAAGTTTGTTTTGTTCTGTTTGTTCATTTTTTTGAACCGTCTTGAGGTTCAGACTGCACAACTTTTTATTAAATAAATAAATCTGATGGGTTGAAATATATTGGTCACAATTTCAGGAGCGCTGAGATCTAAAGGCGTGACATACGCTGCTTCGGTAGCACCGGCATCATGCCACTGGTATTCATGGCAGGCCAGTATTTAGTGTGACTTTAACTTTACAGACATGTCATAATGTCTGATGTCCACTAAACCTCCTTTAATCCACAGACAAACTTTGCTTCTTAAAGCTGCAGAACGTGCATAAGAAACTTCATATTTCAATACCTTAAAAACCTTCAGCCCACAGTGTAACTGAATGCCTCTGACTACATTATTCTTCCTGTTTGCAGCCACACATTTGGTGACTATTTATCCATAAATAAAGAACATGATTATGAGGCAGAGCTGTCTCAGTTCTCCCTGACAGGGGGGCTCCAGCTGTTTCCAAATGAGGGGGCAGCAGGCATCTGTGAAGAGATATTAGAGGGCGAGATACAGTCTCACAGGGGGTCAGTCGTGGTCTGGCTTTGTAGTTTGCTAACAGTATGTTTCACATCAGCAGTTTCCCCTTTTTGTACAAGAAGCTCTGCCGGGTCCCCCCCCGCCCCCCCCCCCCTCCTCCTCCTCCATCTGGTCCCCTCCTCAGCTAAAAGGAGGAGGCCTGCTGGGCACAACAGTTTTCTTGGCAGGAGTCCGAGAAGATAATGAGAAAAGTGCGACCACCTCTTTGTTCCTCTGCTCTGACTGGAGCTGAAAAGTTAGCGCACATGCTCGCTGAAATGTAGGTGTAGATTTAAGTATGGATCCTTGAATGAACATTGTTGAGGAGTGTGTGTGCTTGTGTTTGAACATCATCAGCTGTGTGTGTCAGCTGGATGATCTCCACTCAGAACTAAGTTAGAGATAGTTTCTTCTTGCACAGACATGTAGAAGCAGAAATCAGTCAGAAGTACGGGCCTGTGTCCACCTGACCTGGCGTTTCTTATCAGAGTGCCAGCTTCTTTTTGTATTGCTCCCAATGAAGAGAGAGCGCTCACAGCAGCAGGCGACCTACTGGAGAAAAGACGCAGCGCCCAGCATCCTTTTTGTGAGCGCTCCGGCTTTTTAGTTCGCCTGCTCAGAGCGCTTCTAGTCAAAAATCGTTCAACTTTTCAGAAAGATGCTAAGAGCTTCCACGCCGACGGCTGTGACTGTTTGTCTTCATCTGATTGCTACATTAAATTCTTCTTCTATGGATTTAAAAATGTCTTTCATCCTTCTCTTCCTCATCTTGCTTTTCTTTCTTTCTTTGACCACACAAACCTTTTAATTAAGCCTACTCTCGCAGACCGTCCAGAGTTCAGGGATGGATGCTCCGTGTGATTTTTATTTTTTTTTTCCTGGAAATGTTGACCTCAAACTTCTGCAAATCCTACCGCCTGTAATCAGCGGGTCATAGAAAGCGACTTTGTTTTAAGTCATTGTCGTCCATGTAAAATGTCTCAGATGAAACCTTTAACGTGGATTGAAATGGTTAATCAGATTAAGAGCGTGAAGATAAAACCGTGCCGTCATCGTTACAGAAGCAGTCGTGAGCAGCTGCTGTTGGAACCGCAGCAAAAAGCACTTTCAAGCACTTCCAGGAACACAAGCTCGGGACACACATCTACACGCCGTCCGTCTCCTGGGAAACTCTCAGCATCAGAAAAAAAAACCTCTGTTTTTTTCTTTAAGCTGCTCTGATGAGATTAGAGGCTTAGAGTCGGACATTTCTTTCAACTTCAGGGTTGTTTTGCCCTGAAACTTTCTTCGTCCTCCTGCTGATCGGCACTGATCAGAGAGCTGGACCTGCTGAGGCGAGGTGCAAAGGTCACACGGACCAAAATGTCAGATGTGTTATTAGAAACTTCAATATGACAGAGTGAACTATGAGCCAGTATTTTCTAAACCTTACTCCCTGTTTTGGTTCCGTTGTAATTAAGTGAAGACCCGTCTGAGGTGTCAGAGATGAATGTTTCAGATCTTAAGAGCCATGTCAGCGTACCTGTCCAGACAAATCCAGCATGTGGACTTTTCCCTGGCACATTCCTTTTGTCAGCTCTTTTTATCAGAAACTGAATTTCTAACCTTTTTGACTTCTTCTCTTGACTCGTGGTCGGCTACACACCTGAAGACAAAGACTTAAAGTAGTGAGCAAATTGGAGCTGGTTTCATTTTACATTGCAGAGACGATACACATGGTCTTCATTTCATTTTCATTTTGTCAACCTCATGCAGTTTCTTCTGCTTTCTGCAGGTGTTGCAGGCTTTTAAAAACAGCAGGCCGCCACAAGAGATTGTTCTTTCCTTAATCTCGTTAAACAAAATCCTAATGGAAAATTATAGTTATAGAGTAAAAAGGCTTTGTTCTTTTTTGCAACAGGGTTCTAAGGCTTCTGTCTCCTTTGAAAACGATTAGGGCTCTGAGAAACCAGAGGAAGACGCTGTTTGCTCATTGTTTAAAGACACGTCACAACTTAGGACCTGAAAATGGAATTTGACATCCCATGACCAGACTGTCATCTGTACTAACATGCACATGTCTGTTTAGGGATTCATACAAGAGTCAATTAGAGCCGGATCGATTTATCTGCCAGCTGATAATATCGACCGATATAATCATATCCAGTCTGCAAAAGGAACACCCCAAGAAGCAGCTGAAATGTCTCTGATCACAGACGTTTGTTTTAAATCACCTTGACTGTGAATGAAGTTTGCACCTTTATTCAGAGCCATGCCACTAGAAGAAGTACAGAAGAAGAATCACAATATAGAGCCAGACCAAGTAATCGTAAAAGCGTGTGGAAACACTAAATAAAAGCCTTTGCACACTACGAGGAACATGAGAATATCTCCAGAATTAGAAACTAGAACGTATGTCCATGCTTTAAAATTCAGTTCTCTTTTGGATCAATATGTTCTGTTTATTTAGCAAAATAAGATAAGATGAGAAGCCGTGCACAGTTTTTTGTGCACGCAGTTTTAAATCTGTGATCAGTTCTTTGACTAATTGACTCACACTACCTTTTAGCTCAGGTTAGACAGATTCTGTGGATAAGAATCATTTCCATATACTCAGAAAAATGGCACCAAAATAGGCAAACTAACAAGCTAGTCACTGCGGACACTTCTGTTGAGTAAAGTTGCATTCATTCTTGTTAAGCAAATCAGTCTCCTATATCGCTGAATGATCTGTTACTTCAACAAACCAAAAAAAGAAGAATGCATTGTGGGAGCGGACCTCAAACAAAGATGGCTTCTTTATTCCAAACAAGCTCCTCTGTCATCCTTGAACACAGCGCTCTTATATTAAAGCCCACAGGATTCAAATCTGGTCAAAACCACACGGAGAGTGGGGTCGCTATTTGCTCGAAGCAGCTTTTTTTTTTTTCACTCCGTCTCCTACTTATTCACGCTTTCCATCTGTCCACACTTATCTCAAACCCGTCTTAGCCTCTCAGTCACCCGCTCCTTGTTGTTTCAGTTATCTTTCACCTCCTTCTTTACCCCTCGCCCCTCTCCATTAGGAAGGTTTCTGGAGAAGTTCTGTTTGGGTTTGTTGACAAAGAAGTCATTTCCTGGAAAAAAGAGATTGGAAGAAGGAGTGAACGTAGATAGTCGGAGAAAGCAAATGAAGAGCCTGCCGAGTGGATGTGCTAAGCAAGACGAACTACTCCCGGATCTGACTTTGATTAAATGCAGAGCTGCAGAGTCAAGGCTGCTTATTTGAACCATATGTGGGGAGGACGTGGACAGGGAATACAAGACAAGGCCCCGGTCTGGAGCAGCAGGTTTACTCGGGGAACCCTCCAGAACCTTAGTGGCTGCAGCAGCGGCCAGTGCACTTGTCTTGCGGGACTTGAGCAGTGATTTAAATTTAATGGTGTGTGTGATTTGTTGGCCTTGTGGCTCAGCGGTTGTGTAAATAAACCCAAAGAGATAGCGTGATTACAGCAGCGTTTGAGAACAGAACTCTGACTTCTACTCAAGGTATGCAGCAGGACTCTTTGGCAACACAAGATAAGGAATGCTGGGAGTATTTCGCTGCTAATAGGTGGATTGATCCATGTAGGATAAAGGTTTCAGATATGTTTGACCTCTGAGTTTTTGGCCCCTGGGCGTCTACTAGGGTTGTCACCATACCAGATTTTGAATTGTCAATATGATACCATATCGATACCTGTTTGGATTCCACGGCAACAACAATACAAGTTCAAGGCTCCCAATATTGGGAAATGTATTGTTTTTAATAGGGATGTTTTTTTTTTGCAAAGTGCTCTTGTCTTTGGAGTAATGTGTCCCAAAGAGAGTTCCCATAGCTGCCGTAAAGCAGTTGTTGTTGCTGTGATCCGGCTCGCTGTCCACACTTGGTATGTTGAATAAATCTGAAGCCGTGTCAGGAGAAGTTGCACCTCTGTATGCCGTTCATTATTATTCAAGTATATGTGGTAAAGCAAACCTCATTAAACGCTAACTGAGTGGAACTTTGTTAGCTATTTTTTTTTTAAACTGCACATGCACGGGTGCCCAAATAGTGAACCGCTACTTAGATAATAATGTCAAAGAGTTCCTCAATACTCCATCACTCAATTTTAGTGGCCAAAAATTG